TGCTCAAATCAGTACATGTCTATCCTTTAGTGCAAGCAAACATGACTTTTAAGAAGTCAGTAGGCCACTGAACATCCTGTAACGCTTTAGGGACTTTGTGATGGAGACTCAGCACACCAGAAGGGGAAAAGAGACCAGTGTGTTGCCGCTGTGTGACTGTAGCTGGGCACTGCTCAGTTTTTTGTTCCTGAAATCTCAGATGTAATAAAACTGAATCACAGAACCACAGAGTGGTTGGGTTGGAAGAGACTTCAGGCTGCCCAGGGCCCACTCCACCCGGCCTTGAGTACCCACTGCTCTCTGGGCAGCTGTGCCAGGGCCTCACTGCCCTTTGAGCAAAGAACTTCCTCCCAACGTCCAACCTAAATCTGTGCTCCTTTAACCTAAAGCTGTTCCCCCTTGTCCTATCACTGTCAGACCACGTAAGAAGTCAGTCTCCCTCCTGCTTATAAGCTCCCTTTAGGTACTGGAAGGCCGCAGTGAGGTGCACCTGGAGCCTTTTCTTCAGGCTGAACCTGTGCTGCTTTCTGTCCTTTCCTTCCCTCTGCCCTTTGGGAAGCACACAGAGTTTCTGTGGTTTGCGCTCACGGAAGATTGTTTGGAATCACATATCACAATGGTACCTTGAATTAAAATGACATGAGTTTTTCCTCGTGCAACCCAACCTGCTTGGAAAAAAAGTCCTTGTATACTCAGACATTGTGCTGACATGTTTTCCTTGCCGTGTAATACTGTGTAAACAAACCAAACATTTTTTTTAAGCCTTGCCAACCCTGCACAGCGTCCAGCAGCAGAATGAGGCTGCCTGCTTCTCCCTTGCTTTCATTAAAAAATAAGAAAAGGGCAAAGGGAGGAGATGAGGAACATCCACTCATGGTTTGCTTTTCCTGTCTCAAATGACAGGCTGCATCCCTGCCTGATCTGCTCCCACCCAAATTAACCTAATTTCCTAATTTGTTCAAAATATTTCTATGCTTTTCTTATTGCATTGGGAATATTTGCCCTTTACAGTAATAAGCTCTCCTCTCTGAGTTGGAAAACGCTGTAGAGAGCTCCCTGAGGAGCTGTCAGATTTTCTGGCCCTTGTGCAGGTCTCCAGTGCCCTGTTTTCCTCATTTGCAGCAGTTGGTGCATTCAGGATGGGTTTGGGAAGGTTGGCAGGGCAATGGGGAAGGGGAAGCCCCACAGCCAAACTGTGCAGGGTGCAGGCTGGCAGCTTGCACCCCAAATGGCTCTCAGCTCTGTGCATCGATGCTCAGTGCCTGCAGACTAATTAATTTCCTGAGTTAATCAGGAATACAATCCTGAAGAAAGTGGCAAATAGGAGGAATCCAGAGCCCTCTAAGTGAATTTCTGAGGTTTCAGACATTGTGTTTGGCTCCATGAAATCAATGTGCCATCTTGGGGCATTCCCCTGACATTGCTCTTGGCAGTATTGGAGCAGTGTAATTCTGTCTTTCTTTGGAGAGCCGGGAATGGATGCTCAGCTACACCTGTTGGTCGTTCCCAGCCATAGAATTGGGATTTTTATGATACTTTTCTGGTGCCTGAGTGCATGCTTATGGTGCAGCTTTCCCAGGAGTGTAGCCCTGGGGACATCTGCATCTTTCTGCATGGTGCTCAGTGTACACACTGATATGATTCCCAGTTTTCTGCAGCAGAGACTGAGGCTGATACAGGTGGGAATCACTTCCTTCCAAGCACTTTTTTATTGAGCTCTTGAAAAAAGTTTAACTTAGAATCATAGAATCATGGAATCCCTAGAGTTGGAAGGGACTTCTGGTCCAACTCACCAGCTTGACAACAAGTTTCAGGTAACCAGTATGAAATCAAAGCAGGGTTAATCCTTGAACATAAAGAAAAGAGCCCATTTCTTTATTTGTGTTGTTTGCTCTGGACTTGCTAGATTTCACTTGGCTCTTTCTCCATGCAGAAGAACCTGCAGCTCCTGCAGCCAGAGCTCGCATCCCTGCTCTGAAGGCTGCAGGGGATACTTAGCATTAGGACTGAGTTTGTCCAACTGGTTCTGTTATTAACTGAGAGATGCGGAGAGGCTCCTTGTTGCTGTTAACTTTGTCACGAGGTGTCACTTTTGAGGATGAGGATGCTGCCATGCCATAGGAGTTCACACAGACCCGATATCTACAGCAGTGTACTTGTGTATCCTGTGACTTCTCTGGTGCAGTGTTTGTTGCTGAGAATACTGCTATTAAACCATGTTAGAGAATCTGCTCTTCACTGCAAAGTCTATGATCTTCCCCAAGCCTGTGTAATTGGACATTTCTCCTTGCAGCCTAGGTCAGACCTGATGCCCATCTCCCAGAAAAGCATTATGGGCCATCTTTATAGTCCTGGTTTGCAGCACTATTTGCTATGTGACCTTCCTGGGTGGAAGGGACCAAAGCTTTTATTTGGGCTTCCTGCCCTTTTTTTACAAGGATCAAGCTGCAATAAAAGCCAACCTCAGATCCAGCTGGGTTTTTGAGGGGTGGCTGTTGCTGAATTGCCCCCTGGAGCACATCTCCATTGCCCCATGAAGCACATCTCTGTGGCTGCCATCTGCACCTGGCTGCAGGAAATGGGATGCAGAGGCTGTGATGAAGGCACAGGCTGGCTGAGGTTGGTGAGGACCTCTGGACATCACCTCATCTGACCTCCCATCATAGTGCAGAGACATAGTTCAGAGAAGGGTGCCCAGCACCACAGCCAGGTCTTTTGGAGACCTCCAAGGAGGAGACCCCACAGCCTCTTTGGAACCTGTGCCAGTCTTTGTCACCACTGCTGTAAAATAACATTTCCAAGCAGAGCCTCTCTTAACAAAATGCTCACAGTATCCCTGTGGGCTAATTCTTTTGTCTCCTCTTGTGCACCCCAGGGCACCAGTGACAGATCCGATGCTTTGGCTGTTTTAATAGAAAGTCTTCCACCCCCGTGGGAGCCTTTCTTGCATTTTAGCTCACTTCAGAGCAGTGGAACAGCACTGGCTGCCTGCCCTACGCTGCTCCTTGGCTTCAGGCTCCCTTAGCCCCAGGGGCACCATGCTGCAGGTTTGGGACCATTGTGAATCTCAGTTCTGTTCTGTGAGACAAGTGGTGCCAGTTTTCCCCCTGCAAAGCATGCGGCTGAGGTAATATAGAGTATTTATTGTGTGCACTGTGCACTTTCTCTGCTAAAAATCGCTGCTGTCTCACATTCAGGCATTTCAGGTCTTTTCCCCCTTTTATTAATGCTATATCCATACTCAAGGAGTTTTGCACAAGGAAGTGCCTCTCTAAGGTGCCATTCTTCTTGCAGTCTTAACTGATGCCATGGGAACCTCCCTTCAGGAGCTCAGGTCAAAGACAATGCAGTGAAAAAGCCAGCCTGGTCCTGGTGTAAGCAGCGCCCTCTCCCACCCATGTCAGTGTGTACAGCCGGCCCTGAGGCAAGGGATTCAGATAGCACAGGCTCTTAAAAAGAACAACAACGTGCAAACATCCCAACTACCCGCAGCCCTCATCACAGCACTGACCTGAGCATCCCGAGCCCCCTCCCTGCAATATCCATTAGCAGCTATCCTCCAAGTGCTCTCGCAGCTAAATTGGCCAACGAGTGATCTGCTGAAAGCAATCGAATGAAATGTCAGTGGGGTGCCAGCAGCAGGGGGCTCCTACCATGATTAATGAGGTATTTAGGCATCGCATTTTGGAGGAGCTACCTGAAACACAATGCACGGCGAAGGTGGCTTTGAGATGTGCTTTAAAAAATTAATGCTAACATCGGTTGTTTAATTATTCTTCACAAATTGGTTATAACAGCAGCAGGGTTACATTTGGGTTGAGCACATTATGAAGCCTTTCAGAAAGCTCGTATGCAGAAAAGGGTTGTGTTTAGATCGCTGCACATTACTTTTCTGACATAAAATCCAGAAGAGGAGGAAGGGTTGAAACAACCTGTAATTTGATGAACGCAAGGATGATGGGGATATAAAGCTTTTGAGGCTGCGATTAAATGAGCATCCATCCAAAGAATAGAGTACATCTTACTGCTATCAGAAGTGTTGACTCCAACAACTAAGCTCCTGCTGTTGAGGGACCTCCCTTTGTAAGGGAAAAGGAAAGTAATGGCACTAAACATTTCCAAGCGTCCTTCGGCCATCAAGTTCCAGCAAGCAGAGCCATGCAGAGACCTGCAGAAAGCTGCCATGCGGTGGGCAGAAGTAGAGTTTCATGCCTGAAACACAGCTTTTATGGTGAAGAGTTGTGCTGGTGATAGCAGAGCTTGCTGCATTGAGCTGGGTTCTGTCTCCAAGCATTCAGCCACAGGGCACAATGTGCATTTTGTACTTTGCTGAGACAACACACAAAATAAGTGGAATGCAAATAAAATCAGGTTAAATTCAGCTCTCTGCTGCACAGCCCTTTATTTTTTTTGCTGACCTGTAACATTTTTGCACGTTCTTATGCATCACTGGGATGTTTACCTCTGGGAATTGCTCAGCCCTGGTATATTTTGTGGTGTTGGTGTCTGCATGCCTTGCTGCTCAGCGTTTGTTCTTTTGGCTCTGGATAAGCGTGATGGGGATGCAAAGCAGGGCAATGGCACGCTGCTTTGGTTATTGTGCACTGTTACACTTTTTGACAGAACAGAAGGTGGTTAACAACTTTTTGCCTGTGGTAGGGAATACTGAGCTTACAGAAGGAGTTGAACAGAACAGCCTACCTACCCAATCCCTGCCATGGCTTGGCTGCCCCCCACCAGCTCAGGCTGCTCAGGGTCCATCCCACCCTGCAGAGATGAGGCACCCACAGCTCTCTGGGCAGCAGTGCCAGGGCCTCAGCATCCTCTATTTGGGCTCCTTCACTCCCATTGCTGTCTCTATACCAGTTCCAGCTCAGTCATTGCAGTGGATCAGCAGTTTTGGAGGGGTGGAGGTCAGGAATTGGACCTGGGCATCGCAAACTACTCTAGGGGAGTGTTAGCATATCACAGAGATAACACAGATGCTCTCTCATTGGCAGCATTTGAGCCAGGCTCTGGGCAAGGATGGGGAAGCAGAACAGCAAGCTGCGCCCTGAAGTGCTGCAGGACCTGCGCGAGAACACCGAGTTCACGGACCATGAGCTGCAGGAGTGGTACAAGGGCTTCCTAAAAGATTGCCCAACAGGCCATTTGACTGTGGAGGAGTTCAAAAAAATCTACGCCAATTTTTTCCCTTACGGCGACGCATCGAAGTTCGCTGAGCACGTGTTCCGCACCTTCGACACCAACGGCGACGGGACCATCGACTTCAGGGAATTCATCATCGCGCTGAGCGTCACCTCGCGGGGCAAGCTGGAGCAGAAGCTCAAGTGGGCCTTCAGCATGTACGACCTGGATGGCAACGGGTACATCAGCCGCGGTGAAATGCTGGAAATAGTGCAGGTGAGCCACTGCCTCCGGCTTTATGTTTATTGCTGTGACTTCTAGACTTGAGGCTGGAGATGGTGTGTGGTGCTGGGACCCATGATAATTCTCAAGGGGTGGCTTGGGGCCATGGTGGGACCTCTGAGGTGCAAATGAGCAAAGGTCCCGAGAGATGAATGCAGCTCTATGCAACGGGCCTGCAGCCAAAGTCTTGCAGCGCTCCCTAGAGATTCCTCAGTGGGGTTTTGATGGGGTCAGAAAGACCTAAATGCAAATTTTGCTCTCCTAATTGACCTCAAGTTCAACACCATGGGCTCTGAAACTTCAAATCTGAGTCAACACGAGCTCAAAATTAGAAGACCATATCATATTCTCATCCCCTGAAGGCTGAGTCCCAGGTCAGTGGCATCCACCCTGATGGTGGGAAGCTCAGCATCCTGAAGCACGAGAAGGTACTTCTGAACATCAGGGAGCACTTCTTGCTGTGCGGGTGGCCAAGCACTGCAGCTGGTTGCCCAGAGAGGTGATGGAGCCTCCTCCTTGATTGATACTCAGAAACCACTTAGAAACCACTTAGAATAAAATAATCAGATTATCTGATTTCAAGACCATCGAGTTCAACCACCCACCTGACCTACTGAGTCCCATCACAGAGCCACAGTGCTGGGCGCCCTGCTCTGGGTGTCCCTGAATGAGCAGGGGTGGGAGCAGATGGACCCAGAAGTCCTGCCCACCCAACCACCCTGCGACCCTGTGGTTCAGCCCCTAACTGCATCCAAACAAGCATCACACTTGGTGTCCCCAGTGCGTTTCAACGGGGTAAAGAGGTCCACCTTTATGCGCCTTCCTGTAAGTCTGAAAATGAATGTGAACGAGCAGCAGCCTCCCTCAGCCCCTTGCAGAAGGCAGATTCTCACACTGGCACTTCACTCCTCTATCCTGACTCAGACCTCCTTGTACATTTATCTCAACCCTGATTTTCTCTTAACCTCACCCAGTGGCGTGGGCGCTTCTTTGAAGTGCGAATGAAGACAGGAAAGAAAAATAAAAAGAAGCTGCAGTCAGAAATTCCTGTTTGTTTTGGTTTATAAAGTCCCTCATCTGCCTTCTGGGGTCAGCTGTCTTTTTATTGCTGCAGGCTTAAATTATTTTTCTCAGTCCTGAAGCTTTGCAGCTCGGGTCATGTTTTTCCTAAAGCTTTTTATTTTTTTAATATGCAGGCCATCTACAAAATGGTTTCATCAGTAATGAAAATGCCAGAAGATGAATCCACTCCAGAGAAGCGAACAGACAAGATCTTCAGACAGATGGACACAAACAATGACGGTACGATCCCCTTCATCCTGCCCAAGGGAGAGATGCTTGGTGGGAGTGAGGGTTTAGTTCTAGTGTTGAGGAGACCTATAACAATGTGGTTTTATGTCTAGAAAGGCTATTTTTTATTTCAGAGCATTTTAAGGCCGGGTTTTGGTGTCTGCTGCCACAGCCCCAGGGCACATTCCCAGTCCTGCTGTGTTTAACCCTTGACTTCAGCAAGAACATTGTTGGCAACTTCTCCTTTGCTCTTTGCTTTAAAGTATTGCAAGGAAAGGGAAACACTTATAAACTTCCTTATAGTCATGAGTGTTCTTTTTCAGACCGGCAAAAACTTTAGAAAACCCTTTTTTGGGTGATTTTAGCCTGAAGCTAGGATGGAAGCATGCCATGGCTTCTTAGTCTCTTGCGTTGTTTCACCTGGCTTGGGTGCTGCACCCAAATGGAGACCTTTCCCCATTCCTGCTGTGGACTGAGAGCGTCCTGAAGGGAACCAGTGCTCCCAGCTGGTGACACCAGCACTGTGCGTCTGTGCCTTGTGGCCTATGGCAGCAGCCAGAAGCACAGTGCCTGAGGGCAGCTTGGGCCATGAAATGGGTGTCCTTTGTGAATGGCTCATGCCTCAGTGTCTCAAATGGAAAAGCCCTGGGGGAGTGGGAGGGAGGTGAGGGGCTACGGAGAGAGCAGGGCTGCGCTGCTCACCCCCGACTGTGCAAAGCAGAGATGTGGGGCATCAGGGTTAAAGCATCTTAGCAATAGGAACATCATATTCAAAGCACAACCATAGTCAGTACCGAGCCCTGTGTTTGCGTTATTTGTGTAGCTCAGCTCCATGCAAACTGCTGATGACATTAGAACGGTTGATGTTTCTTTTGGCAGCGCTTTTTTAAGTAAGAAATGACAGTTTTTATGCAGGATTGTTTTGCAGAAGATGCATCCAGGCTTAAGGGCTTGAGCAGGATTTGGCTGCCGTGCATCACGCTAAATTCCCCTAGATGCATTTGCGATAGATTAGATATATGTGCACTGCTTGTGAGAAGAGGGCTTTTATTAAGCTGCAGAGAGCGGCGGCGATGAATGACTTCTTTTCTGTTTTACATTTCCTCCTTTGAAGGCAAGCTGTCCCTGGAGGAGTTCATCAAAGGTGCCAAGAGCGATCCCTCCATCGTGCGGTTGTTACAGTGCGACCCCAGCAGCGCGAGCCAATTCTGATGAGAGCGGACAGTTTGCAAGGAGAATCTCAGCTTGTCTTACAAGCTTTGCTCGCAAATGGATGCCTTCTCAATCATTCCTCAACAGTTAGTGGATAAGATACCATTGCCAGATTGTGTGTGTCCGAGTGAAACAGCCCTCGCCCCTCACTAACACCAGTGCAGCTCTCCTTCGGCAGCTCCATTTCTGCTTTCCCGTAATGTTTTGATTCACTCTGCACGCCTAAGGGTAACTGAAAGGTGTTTACATGCAGATGCAAAGAGCTGAATCTCTGCTGGGGTGTCCCGTTCACTTCAGCAGCAGGGAAGGGGATGCCCCATAGGCTTGGGAGGACGCTAGGTAGGACTTTGGCCCAACGTAGCAGGTGGCAGGTAACTTATTTCGCTTCAGAAGTGACTATGTGAGAAAAAACATGTGGACTGAACAGAGTAGAAAGCTCAAATTAAAAATCAAAAACAAAGAAAAAAAATAGTAAAAAACAAAACAAAAAACAAAAAAGCAGCTTTCCTGGGCATGGTTCCAGTTTTCTTTTTGAGGAAAATTGCTTGCACTTATCTAATGGTCTTTACTTTCTTTTAATATATATATAAATTATATATATATGGTGAAGTAAAATTTTAAATATGTAGGTCATCTATTTAAGGCATAAAATAGACTCCAGCTTTGTTTCTTCTAGTTGTCCGTGATTTATTCCGATCTTGGAGATGATTGTTGGTTTTGTTTTTGTTTTTTTTTTTGTGGTATTTATGCATTAGCAAATTGCTGTTCCAAAAGAAATGCATGAGTAGCAGTTTGTGGGTAATTTCACTCTGTTTAATTCCCGAATGCAAATATTTGTTCATTTTTACTGTCGATCGTTCCGGCGTTACTGTATTAACGGGAGGCCCGAAAGGAGCAAATCCTCATTTTGTATTTCTCAGTGAAGTCCTACGTTCTGGTGGTCGCTGCGTCAAGTGGCTTCGAGTGACCTGAGGTGACGTGAGTCGCACCGCTGTCCTCCACCTCGCTGCACCTCTCCCCTTGCTGTCGATACGTTAATAGTCTCGTGCATTCCAGTGTTATTTAATATCTGCCTAATGCCAAGAAATATTCATTGAAATAAAAGACTACTTTTCTTGTCCATTCCCGTCTTCTTTTTACCCAAGTAAAAGGCTGGTGGATGTGGTGGGGTCACCGTGCCCAGAGGTGCTGAAGAGCTGTGGGGATGTGGCACTGAGGGACGTGGTGGGCATGGTGGGGGTGGGCTGGGTTGGACTTGATGATCTGAGCGGTCTCTTCCAACCTCAATGACTCTACAATTCTATGAAAGTAAAGCCGATCAGGAGTCTGCATTTCCTGGGTAATCCAAGGGGGAAAAAAAACCACAAAAATATTGGGAAAACACAGGAACATGGTGCCTCCAAGGGGACCGAAGACTGAGATCATGGCTGCTCTGCGGGGTCTTAACATGAGCCAGGCATGTTTTTATTCAAGCACTGCACAATGTCCCTTTCTTTATATACTGAGGATGGAAGAGCGAGCTTGGTGTAGCTTTCAGACATACATCAAGTCTTCTCCCATCATTTGACTACTTCTGTAAGCGGCCCTTCTTTTGTATGTTCCTGCCATCCCTCCTCATCTGATTTCTACTTCTGCCTTTGGTGAATAGCAAGTTTCAGCCACTGTTTGACAAAACCCCAACTGTTCTCACCAGAACCCAAACCAGTCCCAGGTTTGATACTTTTCCAGGCTTGTTTTCTCCTCACCACGCCCCTGGTAGAGTTTCCTCCTAACATCCAACCTAAATTCCCTTTTTAGTTTAAAACCACTTCTCTCTGTCCTGTCACTATCATACCATGCAAAAAGTCTCCATCTTGTTTATAAGGTCCCTTTAAGGCTGCAACGCAGTCTCCCAGGAGTCTTTTCTTTCCCAGGCTGAACAACCCCGGTGATCCCAGTGGATGGATGGAGCCATGCTGCTCATCAGCTTCAAGACAGTGCCAGCTGGGGAGGGCTCTGCATTCTGCTTCTTAAATAGTGTCCAAGGGCTTAGTGGGAAACTTCAAAACTTCAACTTTTCCAGCAATTTAAGTGAGTATTTTTGCAAATTACATGTTTAGTAAAAAATCACCTAACTTAGTAAAAGTGGATTTTGGAACAAAAAAAAAAAAAACAACCCACAAAACCACAGGTCCATTTTTACCTGGCTGTATTAAGCCATGTAATTATTCTTTCATCATGGAGATATCCAGCATTCTGAAAGCTCCAGCTAATTACTTTGTCAGCTCAGACTTCTCTGTATGAATTGCAGCTCCTGTTACACTCATTCCATGTTGTGTCATTGCCTTCTAAATGAAGTTAGTGCCTGCCTGCTTGAGGCTCAGCAGCAGCTGTGGGAGCAGAGGATGTGCTGGGCTGGGACCTGCCATGCTTCTGAAGGGTTATGTCCCTCAGTGCCACTGCCACGCATCTTCTGAACACCTCCCTGGATGGAGCCACACGACACCTTGTGCAGCCCCTTCCTATGCTCAACCATCTCTCCATGAAGAAACTTTTCCCAGTACCTAAGTTAAACCTCCCCTGGTCCAACCTGGGATATCTTTGGTGTCTTCTCTGCTTGGTCCCCAGTGCTGAGGGCTGCAGCACCATCCTCCCAGGCACATTTGGTAACCTTTCCTGCACCCCTCAGTGAGGCATTTCAGCGCCTTCCTTGGCTTTACACTGCGATCTGGCCCACAGCAGCCTGACGCTGGGCATTAGTGGTAGGCCATGGTGCATTGCAGTGAACATGCACATGACAGAGAATCATAGAATCATCAGGATTGGAAAAGACTCTAAGATCACCTAGTCCAACCATCAGCCCCTTGTCCCTCAGTGCCATATCTACCCTTCTCTTGAATACCTCCAGGGACAGTGACTCCACCACCTGCCTGGGCAGCCTGTGCCAGTGCCTCGCCACTCTTTAGGAGAAGAAATGTTTTCTAATATCCAGCCTGAACCTCCCCTGGTGCAATTTCAGGCCATTCCTTCTTGTACTAGGCATCCTGCACAGATGTTCCACCAGATTCTGGTGGTTCCTTGGGATCTGGCTCATCCCTCTTCTGCCCCAGCTCCTGGGATGGGTGTGCGTTGCAGAAGACAGCAGAACCCTTGCAGTCCCACTCCTCCTCTTCCTTCTTTCCAGCACTTCCCTGGTCCCCTTTCAGAGTAATTCATGGCTTCCCTCCAGAGCTGGCAAGCAGGCACAGTGGTGGCAGCTCGCTCCTCGGGGAAAGGTGGGCACAGCACAGCTGCCATGTGCCATTAATAACCAGAAACAAAACACAAACACTGTGTACTCTTTCCTTGGAGAAAATAAAATAAACTCAGCCAATTCAGATGTCAGTGTTGCACGGCTACAGTTATTCCTCTGTTGCTTCCCTTCTGAATTATTGATATTTGCAAGCAGGCAGCTCTGGTGCTGCTGAGGGACGTGGGCTGATCTCAGAGCCACCTCTCTGCAGTGCCATCGGCTGACACCAGTCCCACTGCCATTGTCCCTACAGGGCTAAGCAGTCCAACAGAGCACTACTCCCCTGCCAGGATCTTTTCATCTGAACAGATTTACCTCCCTGAGGTGCTCTCTGTTCCGCTGCAGTGGTGGAAGGGCTGTAGATGGGCAGAGCAAGAACACAGCAGGTTAGACAGACCTCTGGCAGCAGGGTGCCCAGCACCACATCCACTGGCATCTGGAGAGCTTAAAGGAGGAGACCCCAGCATCTCTGGTCAGGCTGTGCTGTCACCCACACTGCACAGAAGTGCTCCTGGTGCCCAGAGGGAACCTCCTGTGCTTCTGTTTGTGCCCACTGCTTATTGCGCTGCACCACCCCCACCATACGTGGCAGAGAACATCTGCACAGCAGTGCCAACTCAAAATGCCACAGGAAAGGTTTACAGCTGCCCATTAAAGGGAACAGCAGCAAACTGCTGGAACCTGGAGGTATTCACTCGAGTGTACTAAAAGAGCAGAAAGATGAGAGTGTAACCTCATGCTTATAGCAGCCTTTGGCAAACAGGATCCCAGATTATTGTATTTTTTAAATTACTGCAGGGAAGCACAGGAATGCCACAGCAGTCAGCCTGAGGTTGGAACCAGAAAACAAGAAATAGAAGCTACAGTGATGTGCAGACATTGCAGATCCTGGGATAAAAGTGATACATTTGGGAAAATATAGAATGGGTTGTTACAAATGGGAATGATGCATCGTAAACCTGTGAGCAGGCTTTGCAGTAATGCAGCCATAAACCAGCTGAAAAGGGGCAGAGGGAGAGACAGTGAGATAGGGGTTACTATTGGAATGGACCTGTCTGGGGCAAAGTGCTGCAGGAGGGCTTCTCAGTGCTGTGACTGAGCAATGGGAATGTCATAGGGTCACAGAAGGGTTTGGGTTGGAAGGGACCCAAACCCACCTCCTGCCATGGACTGGCTGCTCCCCACCAGCTCAGGCTGCCCAGGATCCACCCAATCCAGCCTTGAGCACCTGCAGGGATGGGGCATCTGCTGCTCTCTGGGCAGCTGTGCCAGGGCCTCACCTCCCTTTGAATAAAGAACTTCCTCCTAACTTCTAATTTTAGTCTTCCCTCCTTTAGCCTAAAGCCATTCCCTTTATCTTATTACCTTCCTGATAAAGACCCCTCCCCATCTTTCCTGTATACCCCTACAGTCCTACAATCCGTATAACCTTGAGCCATAAACAGCCTCTCGCCGTTCATCCCTGTGGTACCGGGAGTAGACAAGCCTCAGTTCTCAGCCACACGGATCTCCGATCGGGCCCAGGTGTTCACTCTGCGGCCACCGTTTGGAGGGCGTCTCAGAGACGGACTCAGCAGTGCAGCGAAGGGCAGCGAACGCCGCCTGCGCGCTGGGACTGCGAGCGGCTACTGCCCCCTGCAGCCATCCATCCCCCCGCAGCCATCCGTCCCCCTGCAGCCACCCCCCTGCCCTACAGCCATCCCCCCAGCAACCCCTCTCCTCTTCTCCCCTTCTCCCCCCCCAGGCTCAGTTCATTTTCAGTAGAGTCAAACGCAGTGATTTAGGTAGCTAAGGAGGAATGTGAATGGAAGATATTTGTAATTCTGGTACAGAAGCCAAAGCAGAGCCAGGGAGACACCCACTGCCTTCAGAGTGCAAATACAGCAATGTCTGGAAACACCCGAGTTGCTCCTGTACAGTGAGTTACTCTTCTGGTACCGATCAGTGCTTATTTCAAGAGAAAATTAAATACAATTTCAATTGCAGTTATTGATGTCCTTTTTCTTCTTGACAATCACATAACATTCATTTGAGATCTTCACGCAATGCTTTCAGAATCTCAGAATCATAGAACGGCTTGGGTCAGGAAGGACCTCAAAGATCATCCAGTTCCACTCCCTGCTGCAGGTAGGGAGGCCACCCACCAAATCAATCAAGCACAAGATCAGGTCACTTGAGGCCTATGCCAACCATAGAGGGATAAAGCGCTCCCCACCCTCACTGGTGGGCTCCCACTTTTCCAGCTGCCAGGATGAGGGGTGCAGTTTTAGAGGATCAATTTCTCACTTCTATTTTTTAATATGAAACCCCATTTGCACCACAGAATGTCAGTTCACTTCCAGCACAAGCCATCTATAGTTAAAGGTGGGTTTATGGAAGGAGTCTGAATTTGTTTCACATCCCAAGTGGCTTCACCACTCAGAGAGGAATGAGGTGATGAGAAGTCATGCCCTCATAGGTTCCCTGACCAACCTGGTGCCCTTTTCCGATGGCATAATTGCACCAGTGGACAAGGAAAGAGCCAATTATGTAATATATCTGAGCTTCAGTAAGGCCTTTGACATGGTCCCTCACATCATATCCTACTCTCTAAATTGGAGAGATGTAGATTTGATGGGTGGACCGTTGGATAGATGAGGAACTGGCTGCAGGATTGCATCCAGAGAGTGGTGGTCAATATGCCTGGATGGGGGTCAGTGCTGGGACTGGTTCTCTGTAACATCTTCATTAATGTCACTGACTGTGGGATCAAGTGCACCCTCAGCAAGTTTGCAGATGTCACCAAGCTGTGAGGTGCAGCTGACATGCCTGAGGGATGGGATGCCATCCAAAGGGAGCTAGGCAGGCTGAG